TTAAAACATAGCCTCCACCGCAATATTTCGCCGTGATAAATTTTTGTTTAACAACTCAACGATTATAACGGAGTTTCGGAGGTGTAACGAACGTACGCGAGCCGTTGTATCGGCTCGGGTAGTTACGGTTAAAAATCGTTGATTTGCGAGCCGTCGTTCCGCAGATTGGGACACCGATGGAACACGCGTCGGAGAAAAATACTGCCGGTCGGACCATAAATTTCCAAAATTTTTTGACTCTCCCAATCCCACCCGGGAATATTTACCGCGCCATCGGGATACAACGTAATTCCTGAAATATAATGTTCGACCAGTCCAAGTAACGCACCGAGTGTTGGCGAAACTCGGGATTGAAATTAATGAAGCTTATCATTCACTGCTACACGTCGAGGAAAAAATAAGACTGTAAACTGCGAGTGAACGAGCAAAGGTATTTACAACATTTAACCTCGATTAACCACCAGCTGCGCGAACGAAGCAAGTTAATAAGAAAGACAAAAATCAAATACGCGTAGATTTGTAATAAAATTTCAACGCTGTAAGTTGTAATATTGCGCGCATCTTAAATTCATTTTTTAATTGAATAGGAAAGTGTTCCTTATTCTCTTACATACAGATGCCAAGTGGAGTGGCACTTGACGTGAAATATTAGTTCGTGAAAACAAATAGTCTTGTAAATTTAAAATATCGAGAAACGCTCGTGTTCTGCCGGTTCAATTGAATTTTCATCGATCTCGATAACAACGAAACACCGAATTTCACCTTCCGCTGTTAACGGACTATTTCACATTTCGCCCGCAGGCTGATTCTCGGAGGTAGCTTATTTACAAGGGAAAAATATAAACCCGGAAGGGAAATTTTACACGAGGTCGACGGAATTCGAAGGTTCCATGACTCCACGGGCTGCAGCTATTCCAAATATCAGCCATAACGAGAAAGAATTCGTCCATATTTCGGATAGGACAGTGCAGGAGGCCAAAAATCTGATCGATGCCAAGCGACATTCTCAATTTTCCCTCTAGTCCAGCTATTTCACAAAACGAAAATTAAATTCATTCGTGACTTCAGCACGGTATGAATGACACGTACCATTATTGCAGATATTAACACGATATTCATAGCATTTTTATTCATTTTTGTACATCTGGTGTTTTCAAGCGAACTCCTCGATTGCGCAATTCGTCGGAGTTGTTCACGCCAATTCGTAATAGAGTAAAAACTTGCTCCGTCTGCGTATCTCGATCTGTATGGGTTCAGAAAAATACATCTTTGTTACTCCTTCGTCGAGTAATCGATATCGTTTGCTGATGCATTGGAAAACACGTGATACTCCCCAGCAGTGTAGAAAACACGATATATTTATTTATTTTTCTTTACCTAACGTCTTCTGTACGTCGCAAACAAAGGAGGATATCAACGAGGAAAAATATAAGAGAATAGAACGCTGACTGAAACGTCCGACTCGGTACGATGGATACTTGATTGATCTTGATATTCACTTACGCTGATAATCCAAGTCCTAAGGTCCAAGTTCACTCGGTTTCCTAGCTAAAACAAAAGTTCCCTAACTCGCGAGGGGATAGGAAAGCCGGAGTAGTCCAAAAATATCCCCGTGGCGGTATAAACTTTTCTATCTCGGAACGCTCCAGTGGTATATCTCACAAGTGTGATTGCTCTTCCCTTTATTGCCAGCCGGGAGGTCACCAGGGCAAGGTGTGTTCCTCTCGTTGCTCTCGTTCCTGGTAACGACGGGGAACAAGTTCCTAAAGCGCGAAGCCCAGGTGAGCGCGCGTTAAAGTGCTGCTATCGATTCGAGCCGCAAAGCCGCAGCCGATCCAGGCATTTGTCAAACGACGACAGGAAACGTGGCCCACATAGGACACGCCGTCGACCCGGACGCGTTTCGAAGTTTCCGAGACGCATGGTACGTAGGAGCCGTGGCGAATGGTAGCGGGGGCACAAGCGCAATTATTATTACGGCCATTACTCGTGTACACCATTGAAATGGTTCGTTCGGTAGCGGAGCAGCCGGGGTTATTATCCTATTGAGCTCGTAAGAAGCAGCCGGCCACGATGTGGTACGAGCATCTTACGACATCCTCCCTTTGTCGAGCAACGGAACACGCCGCGACAAGAACCGCCTGACTCGTCTGCGTTCAACTTCGCGGATCCGTAAGAAGCATACCCGCGACGTGTATGTAAAGAGTAAGGAGCGAACGAGCAACGACGAGCCTCGCTAAGCGTACACGTCCATGGCATCCAGAACTTTGAGACGGAAGTTACACCGAAGCCGTTTCTCGAAAACAGATTCCATTCTCCTCGCTGAGCTCACGTATATATTAATTATTTACTTAATTAGCGTAGAGTTTGTTATCACTTGGACGAGCAGCATTTGTTTGCGTTATCTATTATGGGAATAAATGCGCACTCATCGAGTAGATGAAGAGACCAGACGAGGCGCGGAACGACTCCGAGCGTCGGTAGAACGAATGAAAGTTAATTGAGAGGTCGATGAAACGATTAAGATGGTGGTTCGTCGCCTGACTGTTGCTCTTCTTGGCCGGCGAACGCGTTCGCGTTTCGCTGCGAGTGTACAGGGTCGGGAGATCATGAAACTGCTGCGTAAATCGCGACGTGGAGGATCGATGATGTTTAATTAGAATCAACTTCGTCTCCATTGCAGGCTTTAAGCAAAAATAATTTCTTTTCGCGGGAGAGGATATCGATTATGTTCCACGTTGGAAGAGACTGTTCATCGTACTTGGTCGAGTAGCCGTTGCTAATGAGTTAAAAATTAATGTTTAAAAATAAGATAAAAATTATATTTTTGAATGAACAAATTACAAGTATACATGTCATTTATGTCACGTATTGTCGCATCCCTCTATCGTGTTTTTGTTCGTCTATTATCGAAATAAGCTCTCTGTTTTGAGCGAGACGCGTATCGAGCCAGAGAGCACACTTAGCGAGTTGGATTCTTCGGTTACTCGAGAAACGAGTTTCTTTGCGACGTAGAATATTCTGTATCGATCACGTTGCCCAGGGCCACGAATGTAATTGTTGCAGGAACGACGAGGGAGAGAGAAGAAACGATCAGTGTTTTATTAAAGTATTTCTCGATCGTTCAGCGTCCCGCTTGGGTCCTTGGGGTCGCTCCTCGACAACAAGATCGGCCCCTTTGTCCTCGTAAAGCGTCGGACGTAATAATTGCCGGCAGCGAGTGTATTTTTCGCTGCAACGACAAAACAGCATTACCCTCGTAAAAAAAAAGGATCTCTGGTTCGCTCATAATGGCGGCATCACGTGCGCTACCGGCTGTACGCTTCTGGAGCGCAATAATAAATTGCGCTGCTCCGGCTATAGTTTTATCGTCTCCATTTACGGCGACGACTTCTTGGCCTCCGCACTCGTTTCCGAATCCGATGAGACCGTAAAGATTAATGAGGACGACCCGAAGGTAAACGACGGAGTCACGCGCAGAATTGAGAAACACTTGGAGAAACAAAAGGAAAAATTCAAAAGGCGTTTTTGTATTGTTGCAAGTCAATTATCCTAAGACGATTTAACTTTCCGTCGCGAAACAGTTTGCAACGTAACGAATATTTTACCTGCATCGACACGTCGAATGATTTTCCTCCGAAGAAAAACGAACCAGCTGGTTTTAGCATGCTCAGGTGTACACGCCCCTCGCGTTACGAACTCGACACCCTTAACGACACCAGGAATATTATTACGCTCGCCGTAAGTGCGCTACGAGCGTCGCAGTTTTAGCGTCGCCTTTATTTCGCGTTTAGATTCTATAATTCGATCGTCGACCTCGCGCCTCGCCTTCGGTTTCGATCGACACGCTTCGCCGCAATAATTCACGGTGCCGTGTTGCGCGCGCGCGCGCGCGGGTACATGCCCATAAACACGGACGCCGTTACCCAGAGATTTGTACACCTTCAGGATTCATGGTGATCCTTAATTGTGCCCCCATGCTTCAAGAGATGTATCTCCAGCGCGAAACGCGAGAAAATTGCTGGAAGGATTTGTTGGATCGCTGGCCTTTTGGAAGTTATGAGTGAGCGAAGACGGATATGCACGATGTGCTCCGTCATCACATCTGATTTTACATTCGTCTAGTATCATTATCGCATCATTGAACAGTGTCAAGTTATGGAGAGTAATTTCTTTCTTGCCTTGATACGTGTCGATTCGTGTCTGTTATAATTTGGCAAACGTGCTTTATCGTACATGAGTTAATTAATCTTAACCGTCGAGCCAACATTAATTTAGGAAACGTTGATTAGTAGAAATGATACGTTGGGGCGATCGCCTACAGCGTATTAAGAGGAAAACGGTCTCTAACGAATGATTAATCATCCGATAGCGTGTTGGTTTCTATTTGTAAATGCAGGTGAGGGAGTGCTCGATCACACCTACATGCGTTCCGCAGGCCATAACGAACCGTTTTTATTATTTTCGTTCGAGGAAAGCTTCCTGATCATAGCGCGCGTAATTCCTGAAATTCTCGGTTCCCACTGCACCGTCAATGTAATTATACGTTAAGCTTTATGCAGTTAATTAATTTATCGGTATATTTCCTCAATCCGAAGGGATTAAATCGTGAACTGCATCCTCAGATCAGCGAACGTGATCATTTCCCTTCATTGCCAGTATAATCTTTACGACTACTGTGATCGCCACTATTTCATCTGAAATATTTGACGACTTCAAGCACCTCGACTGTTATACTATCCTTAATTGAAATTTTTATAAACCACTTTATATTTAAGATGAGACGTATTTTCCTGCGAAAACTGAGGGGCAGAAAAAGAAAATCCATATTCCTACTCATGAAACCGCTGAATTTTTCCAATTTTATGTTTCCTTGATTCCACGTAACTTGGAAAACGATCGACATAACGATAACACTTAAACGACGCTGGTTCCATTAAAATCGGTTCCGTGTTTCTTGCCACATGAATTAACACTTTCGTAACCTGTTTCGTTTTCAGCAGGAGAACGAGGATCACGGGGCGATCGACTTCGCCAATAATCTGGGTCTCGTTGCTACTGACGCTGGGAACGAGGACAACGTCCGCCGCGAACATGACGAACGTGTCACCCTTGGCTTCCACTATGAGACCGATCACGACCACGGAAGTAGTTTATCAGCGATTCGCGATCGAGCCGATGGATCAAACCGCGGTGATTGGTAGCCGAGTCACGCTTCCTTGCCGAGTCCTTGATCAGAAGGGACCCGTTCAGTGGACAAAGGACGACTTCGGTTTGGGAGCCGTCAGGAATCTCACGGGATACGAGCGATACGCCATGATCGGCAGCGACGAGGAAGGTAAGTCGAATAGAAAGCTCGCCTTATTGCGCGGTGGACCCGTTGATTCAAGTTTTTCTTTCGTGAGGAAACCTTCGAAAGGCACCCAAGTCATCATCGAAATTCTAAATTTTTTTAAATATTTCACGATTGATAACTTCGTTGATTTCTCGGCATTTGCAACAATGTCACATTCGAACAATTAGATAAACCATGTCTTTGAAGATCCGCGACAATCCTTACATCCCATGTCTCTCCATGTCTTCTTCCAAAGGCACCGATTCGAGGTACACGGATTTTGTGTCGCGTGTCTTTGCCGCGTGCTTCAAAGAGTTCGTTGTTACTTTTTTTTTTAAGGACGTCTCCCTTCGAACCTTTGCCCTCGCGCTGCTTCCAATCTGCAAAGTTTCAGTCGACGCGGAATTCATTTTCGCGAGCTGTCTGTTGCACGACGCGGACGAAAGAGGGGCCACGCCATTCCTGTTTTTCAATATTCCGTCGCGAAGCTTTCCGGCGCGTTTAGATTACACCGTGTCCTTAAGGAAAGGTACCTCTGTAGACGTTGCTGGAATTGTTTTCGCCCATGCTCGCACAAACCTTTCCCGCTGGTTCTTCGAGTCGCTCGCAATATCGCAGAAAACGCGAATAAACGGCGATACTGATGAACGCTGAAAACCAGCGACTCGCGTAATGGGGCATACAATTAGGAAGAAATCCGGGATCAGGTTTCCTAGCTTGCTTTCAACCAGAGATTGGCGGAATTTTATTTCGTAGCAGGTAAGTCTGGAAAACATTTTATTCGAAAAGTTTACACCATTAAACGGTACACAGGCAAACTTTTATTCGTTGAACGTGAAACGGTAGTTGACTGTGTAATTCAAAGTACAACTTTTACGCGGAGCCTTTGAAGCAAACTGATTTCGATTCGATATATACAGACGCGGACTGGCTGAAAATGAGAACGGTTTAATAACCGCGGAAAATTGATTCGTTTCCTTCGATGTGCGCCAATTATCTGTCAAGGTCAATGATTAAAGTGACAAAAAATTAATTTATGAATAAAAATTTTAATTGAATAATATTGAACACGGAGTAAGAGAAAGAGGAAGGTAAAATTTGCCATGAATTACAACAATGCATCTCGATAAAGTCTGTTCAGTTCACCACTGGATGTCACGAGCCGTGTTTAAACTATACTCGAAACGAAGAATATCGGCAATCAATAAACACATCAGACGCGCGGAAAAAAGAACGAGGATCGTTCTCCATCCATCACATTCGGTGTCAGCAGTTGTACACGACACAAAGGATCGCGATACACATCCAGTAGCAGCGGCGATGGACGGATGTACGAGCGGAATAGGTATCCAATCGGGTGACTGGGAACAGACGTACGGGTGCAAAGGGTTGAACATATTTTTCAGGCGGGCTAGAAATCGAATGAATCTCGATGGAGGCGGGACGGTCGCTTTCGGCCGACAACGCTATTTCCTTCGCCCCAGGTTTTCCCCTTTTTTTTTCTCTCGACCGGCACGCAGCTGCGATGCACGCCGAGCCAGTCGGCGCGAGCCAAATTCAATTTCCTGCGGGCGTCTATTGATTTTTTTGTTACGCCAAAAAAAAAAAAAAAAGGACGCGAAAAGAGACACCGAGAGGGGTAGGAAAAGCAAAAGGGGACGCGCGGACGCGGCCTTGCGCGCCACCGAGATAATATTTTACACCGCGACGTGACACTCGCGTGGACGCGCGGCCTCTGAACGCCTCGACGACCTCGGGATGCTCCGGATGAGTCCAGGAATCATGTGAAATTCATACGCCACCGACGGGTGATATCGAGATCCAGCTCCTGATGCTGCACCGTCGTTGGTACTCGGGATTCTTCGCAAAAAAAATCGACGTGACGCGACTTTGTCTCAATACACGGGAATCCTTCGGATATCGACGCAACTTGTACGTATCAAAAATCTCTACCACCGTTTACGTTCCTTCGGCTGTGAATTAAAACCCTAGGTACTACATCGAAAAACGAGGAGCACGTTCGCGAGATTCCATTCTCTCAGGGAAATATTCAAATCGACTCTGCGAGCTTTATTTAGACTATCATTGCGTCCAAAGTCCGAACGGAGGAAGTCGCGGAAAGTCGATAGCGTCGTCGCATTAAGCGCGCGAGCGAAAAGTTAAATTGCCTTTCTAACGAGTTCCGAAAAATGTGTGCCGCGATGAACGTTCGCGGCTCGATGTCGGACTTGTTTATTTCACTGGAATATTACTTTGTCCTGTCTGCTGACTATTGGAGCGATTCTTCGCTAGTTTTTAACAAAAAAAAAAGTCCCCTAAATATCAACGATCATAAATTTATATTTTGCGGCCATTGATAATTTTTTCAAATTTTCTCTCCTAAAATATTTTTCCAAGCCGTAATTAAAATACAAAAGTCTGACAAGTGCGTTCACTTTGGTTCTCACTGTAGCTCAATTCTTAACAATACTGTGACTGCCACTCTCAAAGAGAATAACTGACGGGAAACTAATTATTTTCCTCGATTAATTAGCGCCCCTTTCTAATTTCAACGATATAGTGGCACGTATAATAGGTATACGTCGACTGTGAGTAATTTCATAATCAGCACTTTCATAAACCATTATTCATCGCCATTTCTGTCTATTATTTGAAAGCTTCGCGTTCGTACACATTCTGCCTTACTTATCCGGTAACCAAATTACTTATCCTCTCCCGCTGAATCCTCCGACGTACACGTCTACCGCACTCTATATGAAAACTACACTCGAGCTAGGTAACGGTTCATTCGCAGCTCGTGCATACCTTCCTCACGCTCACAGTCCGAATCTTTACTTGCTTTGAAGTAGCAAGAAATCAGCGCTACTCAGTTATTTGGTACTCGGCGTTTAGTATCAATTACTGTCAGCCTCTAGACTGTGTTGCAATTTCGTGATATCGCATAAACTGCTACCGAAGTATATTATACTGCCGCGACATAACTCGAGCCACATTCCTCTTACCCGCTAGATTCCAGCTAGACAACACGTGTCTTAATAATTCAGCTTAGCGTAACACGGTTCAACGCGGTTAACCCGCGACTGGCCACGCGAGCGAACATGAGTCCTTATCGCTTGGAGACGTTGTCACTGAGACCTGGTTAATAAACGAATTATCCAGATGGTCCTCGAAAAGTAGGTAGTTCGAGTGCGCATTCCGATGGTGCAGAAATTTTGGAAGACGAGACTCCTTAAATGATATCCGTACTAACTTGTAATTATCTCTTCGTATTTTTTAACTGAATTTGCACGGATTTGCCACATCCTCAAAGTTGACTTTCACGTGTCCAGGTCGATTGTGATAATTCTATAATGATTTACACTTTTTCCAATGGAGAAGTAGCTTCTTTCGTTGCAATTTCGAAAGACATCCTTCGGGATTTAAGCGGGATAATCGTTAAAACCGAGGTAGCTCCGAGCGACCTTTTCCAGATTGTTTCAGCGGGAATACGCGACCAGCGTTCAGCTAGGAAAGGGTAGACCGGCCGTTTATTCGATTACTTGCCAATTAACCACCGCGCGCACCGCAAAGAATTTCTTTGGCAACGCGGAACAGGCAATCTAATCGATTCGCAGCCGCAGGCTATTTTACGCGGCGCGCCTCGTACCGACCAGCAGATTTAGCAATTTCTCCGTGGCCGACACGCGGCCACGAATGTATGCTACCCGCGCGTCTATCGCTACTGATACGTAATGTAATCATGGTGCTACTGTTACTTGCTTCTAATCGCGAACCATGCGTTTAAAGAGAACCTTTAATTCGTGACGATAAATGGAAGAGAAGCTAATATTTTAATTTGGAATCACGCGAGCATATTTAATCTCTGTTGGACCAATATTTGTTTTCTAACTACGTTCTAAAGTGCTTGATTGAGAAAAAGTGTAAACATCAACGCAACCGATATCGATTTTAATAAAAATAAAATACAAACTCTGAACGTATAACTCCCGATGTACAAATGACGCCACAGTGGAGCCACGCGTGCAGCGTCCACCAGCAAGCGTCCCGACGCTCCCTGGTCCCGTATCCGTCGAATCCTCGTGACACTTTTTTCCTCTCCTGGTCCGTGTCTAACTCGGCAAAAAGCGACGCTGCAAAAAAAAAACCCGTGGCGTTTCGAGGTTCATCCGGTGAAAAATTTCTGCGTACCGTCCGCGATAAAACATCGCCGCTACACGCGTGTAGACTCGCTCCCGTACGCCTTCCTTTCCTTCTATTTGCTCGCCTGCGACAAGGATTAGTCCGATACATCGTGTGCTCTTCGCATCGATAATACACTGGTCTACGGTTCTACAGTCTTCTAACCCAGATAGAAAAAGTTACAGATAAAGATTTCGCGAGACAATTTTCCCCCAAGTCTATCGGTGTATCTGAAAAATACGATCGCACTTTTATTTTAAATGGCACCATTTACCTCGGCGATATGTATTTGCCTTCAGTCGGAACAGAGCTACAACTTGGCCCAGTTACTGGAATCACCCTGTACACACGCGTGCACTTTACTACGCGCACGTAGAAATGCAACGAAAGCCAGCGCTCCCGGCACGCCATGCCGTCGCACACTTACTTTCCTAACAATCACGTCAGCTCGAAACGATAAGATTTCAGCGAGAAGCAATTTCAGCCAACGGCCCCTTAATGTACAAGGTGTACTGCCTAAATTCTAGTACTCGAGTCATTTCCTTCGCTTTTGGACGTCTACAGAGATGCTCATCTCGAGTCCTTCTTTGAACTAAAATCTACTAGCTTGGATATTCTTCGAAATGACTGAATTTAACTTTAAAATCTTCCAAAGCTGTACGATAAATAAATATAAATGATCAATCTTAAATATGTGTAATTAAATGTATATTAAATAAAATTAAATAATTAAAACTAATTACTTATATATATATATATATATAAGTGAATATATATATATATATATATATATATATATACATATATATATTATATACATATAC